TCGCCGCTTTGGCGCGATGTTCGGACAAATTTGAAAACTTACTGGATTTAGACCGTTTAGAGACGGTGAATACTAACAGGCTACGCGTGTTTCTACAGAGGTCCAGAGTTTGGCTAACAGGAGTACATCTGTTACGGGTGAGCTTTATGTTTATAAACTATAAGAAGTTGGTAGTTTGTTGTTGAAGCATTTCCGTTTTTCAATAATGTAACTGCGTACAAGATACTGAGCTAGCCCTGCTAGTTAGCCCGCTAACTGCGTTAGCAGTAGCTGTTTTGCTTTGGTTAGCTAAACCCACAAAAATAAATGTTAGTCTTTGGTAAATAAAAGTAATTCTTCACATGGGCTGGAGTGTCTTGGAGAGTCTTAAGCTGCACTTTAGCTCCTTAGGTAGGGTCAAGAACGAGTTAAATTGTAAATGTGTTTAGTCGAATATTCGACTATCTCGCTTTGTAAAACAGTAGATATCAAGTAATATCAAATTCTTTCCCAATAGGAGCTAAGTTAGTTAAACATACAAATAAAGGCTGTCTTTTCTTTTAATTGATTCAGGGATGTCGTGGGACTTCTTTGTACCTGTGTGCGTGGGGGACCTTGTGAAGACTGGGGGAATCAACCAGTACGTCGTTCAGGATGTGGTCTCCGCAAAACAGCTCCCGTCCTGTCTCAACAGTAAGTGGTCAACATGTAGGCAGGTCACTGATAGTTTTTGTTTTGTTTTTTGTTTTCCGGGGGTTGTTATTATTATTATTTTAAACAAAATGTAGAACATCTGCACAGAAGGCATCGCATTTTCTTCGAACACCTCCAACAAGTCATTACCATTCAAGAATTGTCCCGCGCTAAGAATCTGTTTTACTATGTTTTTACTAACTTGTGTGTAACACCAACCTCCCAGAGGGTCTGCAGATGGAAATTAGCTGTAATCTGGCATATTTAGATTTGTTAAAATGTCCGTTAATGTGTATTGTCCGTCCTTTCTAAATAAAATAAAATAATTATAGTACTGGATTGCACCCAGCTTCTTATGTGTATATCACCATCCCCTAAAACAAACAGTCTTGACTTCAGTGATGGGTTGAGCCACCACTTCAGTCTCAGACACAATTATATAAATCTTTCCCAAGATTCCTGCTCATGTACCACACCCCCAAGTAAGGTTAATTAAAATACCTATGTACTTGCATTTTTTGTTTTGTTTTTTTTTTTTTTACCCAAAATTACAAAATGTTGTCACTGTTCGAATACTTGGGGATGATTGTGCTAGTTTATTTATTTGTTTATTTATTTTTTTATTCTGTTTCACACAGAATTCAAGGCAGCATTAAGGAGTCAGGGGCCTTTGTGTATACTGGAGCACTTTGACACTGGCTACAGTGTGCTGCAGTAAGTGTTTTCAGGTATTGCCCACTTTTATTTATTGTGACTATTACTGTACAAAACAACTGTCTTTGCTTCTTTAGGCACTGTAAGGCGGTAGATCTGGCTGTTAAAGAAGATACTCTGGAATTACTAGTACAAGGTTGCTTTTTTTTTTTTTTTTTTTTTTTTTTAAGAAATAATATTTTCTTGATGTTTAAATTGATAACTTTGATTTGTTGATGTGCTCATATAACCTGATTTTTTTTATTTTTTTTTTAAATAACCCTTGCCTTTCAGTGGTTAGTGGGCTGTCTGTTTCACTGCCGAGCATCCTTGTCTCCACCTCCCTGTCAGCTGCAGAGCGCAAGGAAAAACTTAACGCAGTTAAAATGAGCGTCTTCCTGCTTTGCAAACTCACAGAGAACCTGGAGAGTGATTCCTATAGGCAGAATATTGTCACAGCACCTGGAAAGGTATGCTCATTGCTTACTTATCTAAAGGGTTCTTTGCATATACCTGTTATCATAAATGTCCACTGATGAGCTTTGACTAGCTTTATGATTCAGTCAAACTAAGAGATTGAGTCTCTAGCCTGTTGTTATGTGGGTAGTCTTGGTTGTGTGGTAGAGTGTTATTGTACTGCTGTAAGGGCCCACCCAGAGTGAACTTGACACTTTCTATGCTGTGCCACTTCAAGAGAAATTGGGTAGTATAAGTAGGAGCTGTCAAACAATGTGTGGATGTTTGCCATTGTGTCCATAATGATCAGCTAGCAAGAGGCTATCAGTCTCTGTATAGTTGGTTTGGCTGGTGTGAATTGTTTTCTTTGGTAATCTGAGGACATGTATTGTGATTTACTTGATCTCATTACTATATTAAAGATTTTATATTCCAACATCTATGAAGCTTAACTGCTCTTTTTATGTTGTACAGGGTGGTAAAAAAGGCAAAGCAGGTGGAGAAGGACTCATGCAGTGGGACTCAGAAAGAGAGCAGGTGCTACAGGCACTTGTGCAGCTCTTCCAATTGGACATCCGTTCACTGTGGAGCCTCTCCTTGGTGGAGGAAGAGTTCATCAGGTACTCTGCTGTCAGGAGAGTTTTGGGAGAGAATACAGTATCACGTTTTGCTGGTTTAATTCATTTAGTTGGTGTCATTTACAACTTATCCATATCACTTCCGAGCATTCGGAACTCTGTAGCCTTAATTGGAACTCTTATGACAATGATGTGTGACTCTTCATTAATAATCTGCAATATCTAATAAGGTTAGAAGAAATTTGAACTGTGGTAAATTGCCCAATGTAATGTTTTTGTTATGCACATTTCCTCACTTTCCACTTGTTTTATGGTTCTCAGTAAGGATATTCAGTAAATTGTTTGTCAGAAGACATTTATGTGGTAGTTTAACACTCACAACACTCCTAGCAGCACTTACCTCAGCTTTTAACATGCACTGTGTGTATCTGATGCTTCTGATGAATTCAAAACCTTGTCTACTACTCATTGTGGGTTTTAGGTAACTTTTCATCCAGGTTTTACCATAATCTAATATATAAAAAACACACATTTCTTTCTTCTTAGCTGTGTGACCTGCTGCTGCTACAAGCTCCTTGAGAACCCAACCATCAGCCATGTCAAGAGTAAACCCACCAGAGACTGTGTAATCCACCTCCTGGGGTTGCTGATTAAGAAATATAATCACCTCCTGGGTGAGTTGGTCAGACAAATGTAGTCCAAAATCCCGAGGAAACAAATTAATCCTGTCACTTTTGAGAATATTGTCTGTAAATGGTGGTGGTGGGGGCCACTATAAGGTGTTTAGCTTTTCGGGAGACATAGCTGACTTGTAATTTTTTTAATTTGTCCTCTAAACTGTCACAGGTGCTGGTGTAAAAGTGATCCAGATGCTGCAACATTTTGAGCAGTTGTCATCAGTGTTTGCCCAGGCTGTGTCTGTGTGGAGCACAGAGTATGGAGTCAGAGCTATCATAGGAGAAGTCATACGGTCTGTACAATTTTTGTGTGTATACAGTATCCAGTATGCAGCTTGATTTTGTGAATCTGTTTGTGAAGTCTTATTTTGTGTTACAAATTCCTGTCTTTGTTTGTTTGGTTTTGTTTGGTTTTTTATCTCAGGGAGATTGGTCAGAAGTCAAGTGAGGAGTTGGCCAGAGAGGGGTCGGGAGTCAAAGCCTTTGCCTCCTTCCTCTCAGAAGTCAGTGCTTTGGTGCCTGAATTGATGATTCCCAACATCAGTGTTCTCATCACACACCTGGAAGGAGAGGTATGAGCACCGAACAGTGAGTAATTGATTGCAGCTCACGAATAAGAAAATTATTGTCCTTACATAAGTAGAGGCTGCCTGCCATATTGATTGGGTATAAACAATTGCTAATTAGAGGTCTATGTTATCATGTAAAACAGCACCAATTAATATTAATGACTCATCATAGTGACAGCCTTGATGTGTGAGCAACAGGGTTGCTCGTTAAAGGAACTGTCCCTGTGTGAGCCCACAAGGAGTGGGCAGTTTTAAATCATCACAAACCTCTGCTCCTTGTGCTTCTTAAGTGCTTTTTTTAAAGTCCCGTGTTGAGTTTTATGTAGTTTTGTTGGTCTAGGACAGCCTCGGAAAGGATCCATTACACTTTGGTCAAGTTTGTTGCAGTTAAATGTGCTATAGAAATAAAATTGACGTTGACATCTACAATTCTTTTACAGTTGTCAAGATCTTGTCTTAGAAGTAGGTTGTCATTGGTTTTTGAAGTAATGTAAACACAAGATTAAAAAGGAATATAACAGTGTGGGATGAGCAAGCAGCATTCACTTTATTATTCTCTGCTATAGCCAGGAGACACTGTTTCTTGTATTTGGCTGGGCAACGCACCACTGGACACAATACATTTTTTTTAAGACAAGACAAGGAAGGGTCTTTACAGCTCTAGTAAAATTTTATATAGTGCTTACATTACTCAGAGTAACAGGTAATGATTGGCTCAGATATTTACACTTTTTCTCTGTTGCAATGGTCACTGTGTCAGATTCGGCAATTGCAAAGTCATGAATCTTGCCTTTTTGTAACTGAGAACCATGACAGACTGCACATTAATTCTCTTTCAGTCATGCTTTGTGTCTTTCACAGTGTACGAGATATTGTTGGAAGGTTGCTTGCTAGGGATTTACAGGAAAAGAATCTAAATAGACCTCTGCATGATACTGGCTGTCTTCTGTCACTTCATACCTAGATACATTGGCAATGTCAGTCCTCTGTTTTTGTCATGATTTGTACCCAGCTGTGCAGTTGAACGAAACCCACAAGGCATCGCAGGTGTAATGTCAGTTTTCATCCATTATAGTGCACTATGTGTGAGCACAGAGCTTGTGTTACACCCATTTTTGACCCTTGAAGACTCCCTTTTTCATTCACATTTGGTCATAATCATGTCTATATCATATAGTCTAAATATGCCATTGCATACTTCACGTCTGTTTTTACTGTTTCCAACTTTTCAGCAAAATACTGTTTCTCAGTTATTTCTAAGCTATCTAATGATTGTGTCCAAAAACTGCAAATTCAAGGGCATTTTTTTCTTCAATCAAAGTACATTATCTTTAAAAAACAGAAGAGAGTATTCTGCCCTGTGATGAGACCAAGGCGAATACGAGCTTACTGAATGAGAGTTGGGTTTCTCTTGCCTTGACTGGCAGGTAATCTTGGCAGTGCAGAGGAGGATTCCTGCTCTGCTGTAAGGGCCTGCCTACAGTGACTTGGCTCGACCCAAATTATTCCTCTGCAGTCACAGTGGAGTAATTTCTGGGTTGTCGCTGACAGCGTGTGTCTTATGTCTGTGTGTGTGTTTGTGTGCTGAGTGTGTGTGTGTTAAAAAAAGGCAAGAAGTTCACCCAGCTTTCTTTACTGTTCAGTGAGCCATGAGTTTTGTCTTTGGTAATCTGAGGGCTGAGTTCTTAGTGAGGTTTTTCTGTTTTTGTAGGATTTAACAGATTGTTTCACTGAAATTCTTAATTCCCAACCTTTTTCATTTCTTTTTCCCAGAGTCACACAATGCGTGTTGCTGTCTGTGAGGTGCTGGGAGAGATCCTTGTGAGGGTCCTGTGCGGTGATGGGCTAGATGAGTCCGGTAGAGCTGACCGTGACCGTTTCTTTGACACACTGCAGGAGCATCTGCATGACTCGCACTCTCATGTCAGAACACGTGTACTGCAGGTCTACACACGCATCGTCAATAGCAAAGTAGGTTTGCTCATCAGCTATTGTGTTTGTAAAACAATGCTGTGGCTCCTGGTAACATAAGTCATCTGTGTTTAGGCGCTGCCCCTGTGTCGGTATAGCGAGGTGATGGAGCTTGCTGTTGGACGGCTGATGGACAAATCTATAAATGTGGTTAAGAGTTCCATCCAACTGCTGGCAGCCTTCATAGCACACAATCCTTATAGCTGCAAGGTAAATAACTATGCATCAAACTCTAAATAACAGGTTTTCTTCAGGTTTCCTGATATAATAGAATATTTATCTTGTCTTTCAGCTGAGCAGCGCAGATCTGAAGAAACCACTGGAGAAGGAGACTTCTAAACTCAGAGAATTGAAAGAGAAACTGGAGGGGACAGCACCTGGTAAACAAAACCTGAGTGATCATTCATAAGTATTGCTATGAATCTCCCCTGATGTTTTATTTTACTATTTAAGACTAATTCACATTTTGCCCTGTGATGAGACCAAGGCGAATATGAGCTTGCTGAATGAGAGCTGGGTTCCTCTTGCCTTGACTGGCAGGTAATCTTGGCAGTGCAGAGGAGGATTCCTGCTCTGCTGTAAGGGCCTGCCTACAGTGACTTGGCTCGACTCGAATTATTCCCTTAAAGTTATAGCGGAGTAACCACGAGGATGAAGCTCACAGTGTGTGTTTGTGTGTAAGGGGCAAGAAGTTCACCCAGCTCTCACTGCTGTTCAGTCAGCCATGAGCTGTTTCTTTGGTAATCTGAGGGCCAAGTTCAGAAATTCGCTTAAATTCAGCATGCCATGTATGTCATCACCAGCAAACAAAAACAAAAAACAAACCGTTGTCTCAGAATTTAAACATCTGTCAAGTGTGAGATTCAGTTACTAAACAAAATGTTTTTTTTCAAAGATGTCTTTCATCTGATGTAACCATATTCATGCTGAAAACAGAAATCAGTATTGTAATTGGTTTGATGAATAGCAATACAGCATAAATGATGAAATATAATTTTTTTTTTTTTTTTTAGATAAGTTGTTTGTTCTTGTTTGTTTAATCTGTTTTTCACAATAGGGAAAAAATATTAACTAGTTTACTACATTGCCAGAAATCAGAACGTTTAAATTTTTTATTAGCTTTAGAAGAATGATGAAGAAAGTTTAAATATGAGGACTCGGGAGCCCACCATTCCTTACTAAATTCTTGGCCTAAACAACAATCATCTTACCATTTTGTCCTGCTGCTAAATTATTCTGTTTTTAATCTCTGTTGGCACATTGTTGTACTTTTACTTTTTTCATTTTCTTTTTTTCTCTCTTTCTCTTTGTAGGTCTAAGCTGAGTCATCACCATTGAATTTATTTTATTTTTTTCTCTTTCCCTCCCGGCAGTGGCAGTGATTAAAGCATCTGAGCTGTGGGCTGCTATGGTGCCTGAGCTCCTCGTCACTGTCAGGAAAGAACTGGAGCCCACAAGCAAAGAAGAGAAGGAGCAGCAGGAGGACGAGGAAGGCGGGGAGGTGGAGGAGGAAAAGGAGGCAGAAGACGACAGAGCAACCGCGGTGAAGATAGCTCAGTACCTCCGTGTCAACAAGTACAGGTGATGATAATCACCAGTGGAGGCCTGTGTAGTGTCACTAACTGGAGGATTTTTTTCTCCCTTGCTGTCAGTAGCCTACAATTTTCATTTTTTATTTATTTTTTTTAATGGGGCTTTTCTTTTGTGTTGCATTCTACAGGGATGCTGTGCAGCTCAGTATAAGAGCTCACAGCTGCTTCCCAGAATCTGAGATGTTTGCTTCTCTGTCCACTGTCACACCTGAGAATATGATGGACACACTGGCTCTGATTTTCAAAGGTAAAAGTTGTACTCGGTGTGGCTGAAAATTGCTCTTCCTGGTGACATTTAATAGAAGTTGTATTGAGAACATAAACATGTTTTTTAATGTTTGTTTGTTTTGTCCCTGGGGGGTGTTTTTACAGCTGTCTCATTTGTAATGTGCACCATTCAGCCATGACATTAAAACCACTTAAGTGAATAACATCAGCTTTCTTTTTACAATGCAATATTTTGCTGGTTCCTAGCATACATTACTTTGGGAAATACTCCCACCTGTCCACACATCATTGGCTCAGAAACTGCGTAAAGAACATGAAAAAGCCCAGCATGTAGACCATGACACCAAATGTCTACATTTGCAGCATTTTTGTAACTCCATCTGCTGCAACTGGAAAAAAACCCATTTTTTATTATTATTATGTAATTAAAGGTGAGAGGGTTTGCTATTGGTGGCCCTGTGCCAGACAATACAATATGTGCCCAGACTTCACACGCCTCGTCTTGAACCCATCCAAATTATTTTTTTTTTTAAAAAAGGACTTGGAAAGTGGTAGGCAGTTCGGTTTTATGTCTTAATATAGAACGTTTTTTATCTCATACACAGTTTCATAAACAGTTGAGCTGCAGTCAAACAACGTTTTAAACTTGGTTGATTGAACTCCCATTTGATCTTAAGTGTACAATACTTGATATTTTCCTCAGGCTCTGATGATGACACTTCCGAGCTCAACCAGAATTTGCCACCGACGCCGCAGAAAGAACCAGAGAAAGAGGGCGAGGATGGTGAGCTGAAGAAGCAAGAGATGTTGGTGCAGTACCTGAAAGATACAGAAACCTTCGCTTTACAAGTAGAGAGAGCAATCTCTGTCATTAACACCATGCTGTACTGGAAAACAACTTCAGGTAGACGACTGTATCCATTACACAGTAAACTAATGTAATCTTGTAGATTTCAGTAACGTTTTTTAATCTAACAGAATCTTCAGCTGTTTTTTTTTTTTGTTTTTGTTTTTGTTTTTTTTTTAGTGGTCCAGGAGGCTGTACAGTTTTGTGTGACGGTGTGCGAGTTCAGTGTCGCTAACTCTATCAGTGGAGTGAGGAAAATGTTGCCTCTGGTTTGGTCAACTGATGCTGCAATTAAAGATGCAGTCATTCACGCTTACAGGCGTCTGTATCTGAACCCCCAGGGAGACACCATCAGGTTTGTAAGACCTCACACATATTTGAGTTATGAATAAGTTATCCATTCTTTCATGTCCTAAGTGTACTGGCATTATGACGTTAAAAATAACTGAGCTAACACAAAATAAATGCTGGACGCTTCTCTAAGATGGTTAAGAATAGAAAGTATTGCTTCTAGAAAGACTTCTTCTTCCCTCCTTGAATTCTCTTTTCTTTTTTATCCAGTTCATGGCTGTGGGACTTTTCTGTTTGCATATTTATTTTGATCAAAACAAAATACTGTTATCCCTCTGATTATGTCATTTTCTGTAATCTTTTCATTAACAATTACAGTATCATTAGGCTATTGCTGGTTTAATGTCACTGACTAAGGCATGACTCGTATAGCATTTAATAAATATAAATAAATAAAATGACTTGTCTGGCTTATATTGTTTAGACCATTTTTTAATCAAATTTTATTACATTTTTTAAGGCCTGGGCCAAAATTAATGGTAAATACAATATTGTGATTGAAGCAAAACCTTAAAAACAAGCATCTGTCTAATCCTTTTTTAGGATGAAAGCCCAGACTCTTGTTGATAGTCTCTCTGAGCTGATGGTAGATGCATCTCTGGGAACAATCCAGTGTCTTGAGGAAATTGTAAGTGACTCTGTTATTACTCTCATGGATATTTCTGTGTGTGATGCTCGGCTGTAAAAACGCATCCTCTAATCCTGAAACATTAGTGTCTCCATGTTGAGGTATTTACGAGTGTATATACAAGTTTTTTTTTTACTGTAACTATTCAATCATGTCTCTATAGGTACAGGAGTTCTTCAGCAGTGGCAGCAGTCTCCAGTCCACTGTAGTTCAGGTCTTGTGGGAGAGATTTACCGGTAAACGAGAAACTTCTAGCTTATACAAGCGAGCTGCAGTCTTACTCCTGGGCATGGCTGCAAGGTGAGAGTTCCACTGCTCTACTCTAAATGAGCCCAAAGTGACTAGAGTCCCTGTAGTCCAGCAGTTATGTATATATACCACATGTATTGGTTTTGTTGTTAAGCCTATAAAGTGTAGTTATCACCATTGTTCCCTCTAAGTTGCGCACGTGCGCAATTGCGCACTGCTGGCAGGTCTCTGCGCACAGAAAATCTGCGTTGTGCACAAAAAAAATCTAACCTGAATTGAAATTAAAATTAATACTGTAACGATTCTGTTTTACAGTGTTAGTTAGTGAGTGACTGGCTGCTCCCGTATGGTTTTAGAACGATGCCACCTTATCCCATAGTCCAGCCAATGATGCGATTTACATTTGTATATACCCAAGCTAATCAACGTCGTTGACAGGCTATGACAGCGTCCTTATGTGCCGACACCGGTGTTTTAGCTAGCAAAGCGGTGTGGCTGATGTGGAGTGAAGCCACATTAATGACAACGTGTACAACCATTGGAGACGTGAGCAGGACAGACAGAACAATTGACGGAAAAAGTGTGGACTTTATAAGAGTTTTTAAATTGTGTTGATAGACCACGTAAAACCAGTTATGATAAAAATATCTGCAATGTTTGGTTTCCTTGCTGAATACTATCGTTGTTTATATTTACTGCGGGAAGAAACGGTAAAAACTGCGTTTTATAAGAAAAAAGGCTCGAAAGCACTCTCCGCCTGTGAGCAAAAACAAACTCCACCCCCTCTCCCTTTCCTATTCGTCCAAAAAAGTA